CTCCCTTCTCCAGCTGAACAATCCAAGTGCCCTCAGCCGCTCCTCATCCGGCTTCTCCAGACCCTTCACCACCTTCACGGCCTTTCCTTGGACACTGATAGCCTTATATCCTCCTTATTGCCCTGGCACTGAGCGTTTAAAACACGCCCTCGGTGCTGAGTGCCCGGGCTTGAGTGCCCGGTGCCAGCGGGGAATGCTGGGGCTGGTTCGAACCCATTCCCTTTGCCCGCTGGAACATCAAAAGCGGAGTGGGATGGACGGGAATATCAGAAACCACCTTCCCCTGCCTGCAGCCCTTATGCCGTTAGATGAGGCAAAACTAAGGCCGGGAATTCCTTCCTTGGTTTCGAACCCCACTTTACAGCTCTCTGCCCCTCCACGTCCACTCCAGCTGCCATGCACATCCCATGTCGCTCTGACAGCACAAGACAGACTAGAGCAGCTTTCCAACTCCTTCATCCCTGACAGATTTAATGGGAATAGGTTTAATGGGAATAGGTTTAATGGGAATGGATTTAATGAGCTCCTCCCTCTGCTAAGTGTGCCCAGCAACGGGGGGCTCATCCAGAGGAAAACGCATGTTTGTCCATGGGCTTTTTATTTCCTTCTGAGCTGACTCTTCTCTTCTCCCACAGGGAAAGTGTGGACAGGGAAGAAAGGGGAGCAGAGGACACAGCAGTGTTTACTTGCATTATGGTTGTTGTCCCTGTGGACAAAGCAGAGCCCCAGAGAGGAATAAAGTGATGGATAAACAGGGCAGACGAAGTTGGGATCGCTCATGGTTTGAGGTTCCTTCAGTTCTACAGCAAATGCCTCTGTTCAACCACTGTCTCCTCTCTCATCCCCATGGTTATAAGTATTTATGTTCTTGCAGACATGCTGCAATGCAGGCAGAAGGTTCTTACATACCATATCCCACTGTATTTTCCAGCAGTTTATCTCCTGAGCCAGGCTTTTTTTCCCTCTTTCTTCTTTTCCCCCATTAAATTCCCGTGAAAATCAGCCCATCCCAAGTTGTCCTCATGAGTTCTTGTACCGGGGTGATGGGAAAGGAGTGACTGTGCTGTCTCAGCCTCCAGCTCTGGAATTCCATGGGTGTTTAGGAGAAATCCCATGGAGAAATACACTAAACTGCCAATCTCCGTGGCCAAGATGGGAAGGCAGAACTTTTGCAAACGGGTCAACACTTGGCCAAGACCTTGGAAGTGCTTTTTCCAAGTCTGGAGAAATCATTTTGTCCAGCACACCTCACTGCTCCCACCAGATCCATCTCTTCCAAACTGAGGGCACAGCCTGTGCTCCAGGAGGTTAGACTAGATGACCTCCTGAGGTTCCCTTCAGCCTGAGTTATTCCATCATCATCATCATCATAATAATAATAATCGGCCAGTGCTTCCTGGAACTGGGACAGTGGGGAGGTGCATGGACCGTTTCCAAAGGGAGCTGCTGCTTGTTTGAGGTCCCCCAGTGCCACCAGACAGTGGATCCAGAGGAACTGGGTCCTGCTGGCTCCCTGTCCTGAAGGACATTGCTTCCAGAACCCTTCCCTTGCCGCTCCCACCCCCAGAAGGGAGAAGCAGCCAGGGAAGGTGGGCTCACCATGTTCCCCCTTCCCTCCATTCCAGCAGCGTGTTGTCCATGGGTGGCCTTTTGGGCTGATCCCACCCCGCCTGGAAATTGGAGCCTCCAGGACGAGGAGGAGGAGGCTTCCAGGATCTAAAATTAGCCACTTATCCAGCACAGCCAACACACACTGACTTGCCCCTCAGGCGGGACCTTTCCTCCACTTCCAAACCCTGAAGTGATAAAAAGAAACAAGGAAAGGAGGAAAGGAAGAGAAAAAGGAGGAAAGGAAGAGGAGGGAAGGAGGGAAAGAGGGAAGGAAGGAGGGAAGGAAGGAAGGAGGGAAGGAAGGAGGGAAGGAAGGAGGGAAGGAAGGAAGGAAGAAAAGAGAGGGCAGGAGAGGAGAGGTTCGGAGAGGTTCGGAGGGGGAGAGGAGAGGGATAGGAGAGGGAGAGGAGAGGGAGAGGAGAGAAAAAGGACTCCTCCTGATGCTCCAGAGGAGCCCTCAACCACCCCTCCACCTTCCCTCACCTTCCCCACTGCCCTTCCTAAGCAGACACATCCTCCCACTTCCCACCCTCTCCCAATAGTGCTCCTCATTCTCCAGACAAAACAAGGAGTTCTCCCAGCCCGCTCCTACAACCAGGCTGCTGGATCCCACCTGGCACCCCTGAGCCCAGAGAGGATCCAGCCCATCCTCCGAGGCACCGCCAGAGTCCCTTCCCCACAGCACCTGGACATATTCCCTGCTCCCTGCTCCTGGCTCCACAGCCCTCCTCCCTTCCCATCTCCCATACCACACTGGAACATGGCTGAGGGGTGAACTCCTGTTCATCCATGGCTTTTACTCCCCAGAATGAAGGCAGTGGTTGCATTTAGTGCCAGACTGAGAAGGAAATGTGGCTTCTTCTCCCTAGTTCCTGCATAAACAAGGACATCTTGGGAGCCTCACTGCCAAGTGATTGAAAAGGACAATTATTTACACCCGGTGCTAAAACCAGTGGTTAGTCCCCCCACCACTACTCTTTTCCAGAGGCACCAACACCTTCTAAATCCCTCAAGGTTCCTCCCAGACCTGCCAGGCAGCAGAAAAAAAAAGCTGTGACAGAGTCCCAGTCACGGGAAAGGAAGAAAGAAAGGAAGGAAGGGGGGGGGGGAAATGCCGTGACCAGAACTGTAATTCACACTTAGCTCAGTCCATAAAACTTCTCCCTCCCTGGATCTAAGCCAGGGGCTTGGATTTTTAGTGAACTCTGAA